CATTAATATTTATTAATTATATAATTTTATTAATTATAATTTGGCCTGAAAATGTTTGGAAACGCAAACAAATTTGTTTCTCGTACTCGCCGGCCGCTGCCGCGACATCTCGCTTGAACTGTGCTGCTTTTTTATGCTCTAACCTAACCTAACCTACTGAATGGGAACCGCAACCAAGATTTGAGCTATGTAAAATACGTTTGTTTTGTTTAAACCACCAAGAAATCCGATGTCTAAGAAATAATAATTTTGTGAAAATGAAATTTCAGCATTGTAAACTATATTAAGGAAAACAATTCTCCCTCCGCACCTCCGGCGTTTAAATTACACACCTAGTATCAAACAGACAAGTACCATGGCGAGTCGGGTTTAAAATTATTATTTATGTAAAGTGTTATTATACCACGTAAAAATTATCTAAATTGACAATATATGAAATGATTGTTATATACATGAGCTTTGTATGAAACATTTTTATAAAATATGAATGTTATATCAAACAAGAATGATATGAAGTTAAATTAGGAGAGACGTACCAAATATCGGATACTTTTTGAAAATTAAAAAAACACTAATATAATATTTCAAAATTTATATTTATTGAAGTCACAGTCATTGTCTATTTAAAGACTTTACAGTAGAAAATGAATTAAAGTTATATTTATGTTCATTTATATTTTATATAATTATTTTGTTTTTATTAGAAAAATCACCGAAGTTTTCACATGTACCCTAATAATGGATATCACGTACAGGGTATACTATTCAATATTGGATATCCACTATAGGGTACACTCTATTAACCATGTATTTAAATGATCCTTTTAAATTTGCAAAAGCTGTGTAACAATATCGGATATCTAGTACTATATAATAATTACTTATTAATACTGTACAATAATTGGTTACGAAAATTTCACCCTGCGCAATTATCGCTAAAATTCGTTAAGTTCTGTAGTCTATCTAGGCACCTAGCCAGTTTATAACACTGTCACAAAATATAATATCACATAAAGTACTTTAACAGTGTTCTGAATTCAAGATCTGAAAAAATCGTCGAACGGAAAATACACTTTGAATGTTGACAGCATAGGTCAATGGTTGACAGCGAATTGAAGGCAAAAGTTGTCTGCGCCAACAACTAACAAAATATTGGTAATGTACATTGACCAAGTAGTTTTACTTTTTAAATAAAGATGATGTTGTTTAGTTTTCATTATAGCGGGGTATAATATTGTGCACGTATCCAATATTTGGTACGTCTCCTTTACTGGAAGTGAAATTGGTACAAATAAAAATTTTATTAAATTAACGGAGTTGTTTTGAAATTAGTTAATTTATTTTTCGTATAAGTGAGACGCACCCCGGTAAAAGACGACGTAAAAAGTTTGCGTTATCAAAAGGGTTTCGTAAGAAATAAAGGTTGTATTAAAAATATTTATTTGTCGGACTCTCGCGGCCACAGCGCCATCAGGCTGTACGATTTTCGAAAAGTTAATTTAATTATAACGCCATCTAGTAGGTTTAGATTGTACTTGTTGAAAACGTCAAGCAGTCTGCTTGGGTAAGGTCGATACAGAGATGGCTATAAGGGGGAGAAGCGCATGTACAATTGTACACGACTTGATGTTGGAATGGGATGACTTGGATCATCAGGCTGACGGGCAAGCAATGTTAGGCACCATTCTGCACCGAACTTGCCCCGTTTTCAATTAAAATCCAATTTTACCCGATCCATCCTTTGTACTTTCGAACTAATCGTTGTGAAAAGTTGATAAACCAATTATTTGCAATAAATAATGCGTACCTACTGACAATATTATTTCACCGTTGCCTGAACAAATTGATAACGACGAGCGAATCGGCCAATTATCAAATAATTTCTGACGGAATCAATGTCGAGGTGTTTTTCCTCAACGTCTCCCCTACGACCATATTCCGATATATTTATAAATATTCTTCCTATGTCGATATTTTTGAATTTAGATGTTTTCTTTTAGATTTTTTCTCTTTTGTTTGTTAGTCGGTAAGTAGATGTTTAACATTGTAACAGTCGCTATATTCTCGAGACTCAAAACGCCAAAAGATCATCAAAGACGCGAAATTTTCGAAATGGAGATTCCCGGGTTAAATGCTCTAATGTTAAGTATATCAAGTCTATTATTTCAGTTATTTCATACCTAGTAAATATTAGGGTGCCCTCAAATTGGACGTTTATAGAACACATTTGCAGACACAATAATGAATTAAAAATGACTGAAAGACTGAGGTATTTTAACGCGCGCTTAAAATTAATATGAATAACATAAAAAACAGACGGAGAAAGTTTAACACAGATCCGACGTTGACAAGCGCCCGATTGCGACTGACGGGGCAGCGGGCGGCGGGGCGTCTCGTTAAACCACTGGGCAATTTTCAAGAATTGGGATATTTGAGAATTTAATAAATCAGGGCTTCAGTTTAAAACCAACATTTAGCAAGTTTTCTGTAGTAGGTACTTAAATACAAATATCTCCATATAAAAATATTATACGCAAAGTTAGACATTTTATTCTTAAATAATTCGTTTTAGACTTTCACTTTTACACAAAGTCTGCGGATATTGTGGAGTACCTGCATACGGGTGAAAGCCAAAGCTGCCCTGAGGTGAGGGTCGAGCGAGCAGTTGGAGTCCCGCCACAAGGTGAATTTTAATTAATTTGTGGTGAGAGTACCAACTCAACATCTGTCGACCTTCATGAAGGAGGACTTTTGGCCGAAGGGTGTCATGTTCCGGCGTTTCCGAGGTTGACAATCGGACACCCACGTTGCGTCACTCGTCCCGGTCTATACGTGTAAATAAATAAATTGTTTTTATCATATTATTATATACGTTAGTCTATAAGGTATGTGGTTTATGGGGCTTTTATAACCTGAAAATAAATAAAATAAAATTTATCCTGTTTTCGGGATTTCATATAATCGAGTAAAATACCTACATACCATCGTGTAACAAATTAGCACATTTTTTAAACAATATCCTTAATATATTGTATATTCTTATGACCGTTACTTGATAGTAAATATCAAAAACTATTGATCTAGGAAAACAGTTTTTCCCGCTTCTCCTCCGGTAACTCGCCTGAAGCGCCACTGCACCGCGTTTACAAGCATTTAATTTGAAGACGTCCTAGTCGTCAAAAAAGTCGAAAAAAGTATAGTTTTGTATATTACCTCCATATAGGTTACCTTTTTTTATACATGACAGGCAAATGACTCCACTCCACCTGATGTTAAGTGGAAAGTGGTATCCAAACGCGAAGGAACCTAGTGCAGCGATGGAATCCTCACTGCACTAACCACCTCCACCCTGCCTGCCTACAATATGCCTCTTCACGCCTCGTTTGAAGGACCCCATATCATAAGAGGGAGGGAAGACATGTGCCGGAAGGGAGTTCCATTTGTCAACCGTGCGGCAGAGAAAGGAGCCACCGAACCTTTTAGTACATTGTCATATATATATATTTATTATATTTCTATTATTCAAACATTAATGAGAAATAAAACAAAATTACACATGTAAAAATATTTTAATGACTACAAATAAACGGTATGGAGCTTAAACAAAAATATTGACTAAGTTTAAAGAGTAGAATTTGCTTTCATTTAGATTTTTTACCGACATCAAAGGCGAAGTAAACGTTTGGTTCATCTTTTTGAGTGGGATGTGAAAATACTTCTATTGCTAATTGGCTATATAACTAGTTATCCTTTGAAGGTACTGTACAGGCGGTTTTCCACAGGCGAGGCGAGACGAAACGAGGCAAGACCAGTATTGAAATCTCGCAGGTCTATTTCCTCCAAAAATTGCCATTAATAGCTCGCTAGAAATCGTGTTTCCAATGATGAGTTTAACACTCTAATAGGCAACACTACGGTTCAATATTATATCAACAATACTTCTATTCTCGTCTCGTCCCGTCAATCCCAGACCATTTCCATCGAAGATGAGCTAAGAGAGAATTGAAATTTTGCGTTACAAATTTCAGTCCTCGTCTCGCCTCATCTTGTCACGCTTTATCAGTGGAAAAGCACCGTTATACCATTAACTGACAAGCCTATATGAAAGCATCGTTAGGTGTTAATGAGGCCATTGATGTGAGGATCGTAGAAAGTGGAAGGTTGTGGATTTGCCTAATACGATGAAAAAGCGTAAAGAGTTTGAAATTGTAATTTTATGATATACCATAGTAAAAAATTTAGAGTACAATAAAAAAAAAACAAGTTTTATATACTAAAATATAAGTGCACCATTTTACAGTTTAGTTACCGTTACTAATGTTAGGTATGTTTTTTTCAGAACTATTCCCTTACTTCAATGTACTTGTAGGTTATTTTAGTCTGGGGGTGACCGGCGATCTCAAAATCATTATCGTAAACAGACTTTTATCGCAAATAGCAGATTTCAAAGCGAACACAAATTTTTAGAGAGAGACAGTGCTGTATTACATAATATAAAGTTGTCTCTTTCTTTCATTTCAGGTTTGCCTAACATATAGAATAATGAAAGTTTATTTTTATTTTTATTGAATTTCATGTAGGAAATGAAACTATTTTTCCGGATTCAAATCGCGTACACAAAGTTTTTTTGTTTAAACAAACTAACGTTACGGATAAATAATTTCATTTCCTATGTGTAACAATCGCGAAAACCTAAGAATTTTACTACCGTGTTATTTATATATTTTTTTGTGAAATGACTCCACTAGTTCGTCATTATCTTTGACACGAAGATCGAATACCACAAAAAATACTTCGATTTGAATCGAGAACTATCGTTCTCCGTCCGAAACAATTATTGTCAAATAAATACTCGTCCAATTTAAAAAAAAAGTCAATTATGAAGCTTCATTTGCATCTTGCATCTTTTAATTTGGTCGAATAGTACTTATTTGACAGTAATTATTTCTGACGGATGTCGCACGGCGAACGAAGTATAGGGCCTGCATATGTTGTCACACCGGGGTCATCGTTCTATTCAACTGTGCTAATTTGGCCTGTAGTTCAGTTGGTTAAAGCCATGATGCTGGTTTGAGCTCACTCAGAACGAAGGAATTTTTCTATGTTTTGTGCGATTCTTGTATTTATAAACTAATTATAAAATTTATCGTCATTCGGTTAACGTCTGTCAGAATTTACGATAGAATATTCAGAGGTGGGGCAGTAATTTTGCTTAGAGTCTACGTCTATAACTTTGAAATTATATTCGTTCATGACAAAACGACCCGCGGTCACCCCTTTGCAATCGGTCTCAAGATGTACTGGTTCCTTAACAATAATAAGGTTGCTGGTGTATTTTCAAATTTACACTTAAAAAAACTAACACTAAACTTAGTTATGACTATAATTAATCGAAGTTTAAATACTTCTACGTATAGAGATAAGCTTTAAAGTAAAAATGGTGGGAAAGAATACGATGAATATAACACAATTTGAAAACTTGAATGTTTTGAAGTTGCTTCACTGAGTCTAGAATTCTACAGTTTCAGTTTTGGAAATATTGTATAATATATTGAATTCTCTCTAGACGGATTTTTGATTAGAAATAATAAACTGAGCTTTAGTAGTTGTCTACAATTAACGATGAATTCATCAATTTGTTAAAAGTGATGTTGTCTCAAAGGGTCTGCTTTACTGACTCACTCTTCATCTTTTGGATTATTTGTAGGTATTAATTTTAAAGAATTTGATAATATTAAAAAGATATAATATAAATATTGTGTAGCAGGTAAAAAAAAAGAAAAGGTAAAGTTAAATTATTTGTACGCATTCTGATTCAGTGACTTCATTGAGACCCAATTTGCATTATAAAACATGTTAACATTAGTTTTCAGTGACAGGAGCTGTCAGTTTGTTATCTCTAATTAAAAATCCAATTATAGTGGTGCACTGGTAAGATTGATAATGGAAGGAAATAACTTTAAATATTGTTGTGGACATAGGAATACGGAAAGTAAATATTTAGAAGGATAGTCTGATGAAATGAGTTTAGGATTTAGTTCCTAGGCCGTTGACGAACTTGCTGCTGCTCGTGGTACTCGTTATTTGTTGGCCGCTTCTGCTGGCCCTGCAAGAAATTAAAAAACAAAAGTGACCAATTAAAATATAGAGGCATATAACTAAACGCTAGGAACCAACCACTTGACAGGATACGTTCTTTTAAATACCTTGGCTGTAGGGTAAACGACCAGGAAGACCACAGCGTAGAAGTAAGGTGTTGCATAGAGCAAGCCAGGAGTGCTATTATTAAAAATGAGCCACCTCCTTTGCAATCGTAGTCCCAAACTATCGACAAGATGCCGTTTAGTGCGGTGCTACATATTTTCAATTGTTTTGTACGCAGTGGAAGCTTGGGCATTAACTCAGACATTATGTAAACGGTTAGAAGCCTTCGAAATATGTGTTTATCGAAGAATTTTGAAAATATCATGGACGGATAGAATCACCAATGACAACGTATTAGAGGATGCACAAAGGCTTGGAGCTCCTGAAAACAGTAAAAAGGAGGATACTGCAGTACTTCGGCCACATCATGCGGAGTGATAAATACTATTTACTGCAATTCATTCTGTAGGGAAAACTCCAGGGGCCCAGAAGACGCGGTCGTAGAAAATCCACATGTCTTCAAAACCTTGCAGAGTGGTTCAACATAAGTACCACATAACTGTTCCGAGCCGCATCTTTCTTTCTTCGAAGAAGAAGATATAATTAATATTTTTTACAATTATGTTTGTTGATGTGGTAAATATCTACGATATCAAAGGCTACTCGTAATGTCAAACAAATGGTCAAATTCACTTGCACTACAACTTTTTAGAGTTTCGTGAACCCCCAACGTAGTACGGAGTACTCAAATCATCATCATCATCAACCCATTTATACGAGCCACTGCTGAGCACGTGCCTCCTCTCAGGCGAGGGTTTAAGTCACAGTTCGCGTCTCTGGCTCAAAGCGGATTGGGAACTTCACACGCTTTCCGAGGTTTGAGAACCGTTTTCGACGTGCAGTATTCATCAAAATGTGTTCCTTCACCAAAAATCTCATGGTAGGTAAATTTCAAATTGAATTTCGCACTTGGACGTACTTAAATAAAAAGGATCTAATGCACATCCAGTCACAGTCACAGTCAAAACTTATAATGTTATGTAACTACAAAGATATTTGTTTATATGTTGGATTTTATTACGGATCCAAGAGGTTAGACTTTAGGAACCGTTTGGTACATATAACTCATTTTTTGATAATTTCGTGGATTAGATCCTTTTTGCTCTTCGTTCACATAAGTACCGAAAACTCAGAGGTGCGAGGTCGGATTCGAACCCACGGCTTCTGCTTGAAAAGCGATAGGTCAAGCCATTAGACTCCTACGGCTTTTTTTGTTTGCATACCGGTTTTCTTGGTGTCGCCATCTCTGAGATCCCGGGTTCGGTCCTCGGCCGCGTCATTGTAGAAACTAACTTTTCTATATTGTCTCAGGTCTTGGTCTTTGTGGTAACGTCGATGTTTCCGATTTCCATAACAGAAGTGCTTTAGCAAAGCTTACTTTGGGGTCAGAGCAACGTATATGATGATGTCTAACATTTGTTTATTTATAGTACTCAAAACATAAAATAAATTTCAATCAATATAAACTAAAATACGAACATACCTATAACCGTTGATATTCCATGAACGGTTAACTTTAATCGTATAATCTTCACTGATGTAAGTAAAGATAATATTGCTTCTCGTAGTTAGTTTCCAATCTATGGCAAGATCAAGACAAACACTTTAACTTTGATCAATATCTAACAAAGTTTCATTTGGACTAGTTCGTTCCAATAAATAGATAAATGTTGCATAAGAGAAGCTGACTATATCATTTGAGTCTATTAGGGATTTGTCTGTCTCTCAAATGTCTAGTTTTGTTATATCTTGACTTGTAAGTTATGTGATATGTCTCTCCCGGGTGAAATTTTAGTATTTTATGAAGCATTAAGGGGTATTGCTACTGTAGCTTCAACGTTTTCTTGCGTAGAGTTGGTTGCAATCGTAAACCAATTCTAATGATTACAATTTAAGTAACTTTTGCCTTTCGTATTGTTACGCACGCTACGTGCATGTGACCAACAAGAATCGCAATTATTAATTGTATAATTTTCGATGGACACACGCAAAAGAAAATATAGTGAAAAATCCTTAATGTGTTCCTCTGAATATCATCCATACTACGGGTTCAATAGTCGCCACGGGATAAAATCAGCTCTCACTTACAAAATATTCATAACTACTCTGCAAAAATGAAACAGCTCATTCTGCATAGGTATTATTAACTACACTAGTACGAAGCGTAAATAGAGTTATTATTTTGTTGTAAAGATCACTCTCTTGTACCTGAATTTTGGCCAAGGACGTAATTATGCAGAAATGTAGTATACAGTGTCTTCTTTAGATTTTAGTGTGTTAAAATAGAAATTAATTTTGTTTTTATTTTTACTTTGTATTTATCAACAAGCTTGATTATTGTTTTCACTTCGTGTTTATTTCTTTTTAAGAAAGAACTGTTATACTGTCCGAATAATTATCTGTGTATTAGTATACAACTAGCAAAAAGTAACGGGTTTCCCACGTGATTGCGAATGCCGATTACGAGAATGACGATGGTGCGAAGACGGTTGCGCGAAAGCTATAATGCGCGACGGCTTATTTTCACGTGAAATGTACTGGCAAATTAAAAAGGTGGCATCAAATCGCCGTGAATCCGACGCGTATTGGATATAGGATCTTTTCTTCAGCTTGTATTTTTTTTAATAATATTTGTCATTGGAAAGGTAAAACGTCTAAAGTGCATTGGAAAATGTTACGGGAGAGCGATTTATAGTATTTTTTTTAAGAAAAAAAAATGATAACTATATTTTTATGGGTATATGGAAAACAAGAAACTGTCAGGTTTTCTCATATAACAAATAATATTAGAGGTATGATTTTTTGTTTTCTTAAAAAAAATACTTTAAATCGCTCTCTTTTAATATTTTTCAAATGCAAGTTGGACCTTTCCAGCGTCGATATCAAGTGACGGGATGAACAAGTAGTGCGCCTGATGGTAAGCTACACGCCTGTCCATAACACATGCAGTGCCACTCAGAGCTTTACATGGCAAAGATCTGAGGGGCACTGCCACTGCGCCTGTCACCCTGAGACATAAGTTGACATGTCCTATGTGCCATTCGATCCCCAGCCAGGTCAATGGAGAAACTAACGTCTCTATATTTGTCTTGTATCAGAATGTTTATGGTACCGTCGTTGTTTTCGATTTTCATAGCACAAGTGCTTTTCTTACTTACTATGGGATCAGAGCAACGTATGTAATATTGCACTAGTGTTTATTTATTTATATTTTGTGTCTTGTGCCACCGAAAACGTGTGAAATGCCCAATCCGTATTGGGTCAGTATGGTGGACGGCTTTAACCCACTCCTTAAATTGAATTTCTATAAAATGAGTTTCTTTACTTCACCATATTATCAAGATAATATATTCTCACCGGTCTTAAATCCTGAGGAATGTTCTCCTGTTCTTCTGGAGGGGGAGCAGTAGTAGTGGGCACATCGCATTCCTCAGTAGGGGGTACGACACAGCGCAGAGACCGTCTGTCGAAGACCAGCATAGCAGGGCACCGTTGAAGGCGTGGATACCCGCCTTGGCACTGCCAGTAGCGGTTGCAGGATTTGCCCAGGGGAACGTTGCCGTTGGCGTCGTCGTTGCAGAGAGCTGGAATGAGTTGGAAAAATATTAAAATTAGTGAGTAACTTCATAAGGTTCTCGCAGGTGCGCTGATGGCGAAAAAACCGTTTAAACCCAAGAAATTGCGCAGGCGTACTACTTGTTCGCCCCGTCATCCATAATTTTTTGGTTAAAAGCGCAGTTGGCTAAAAGCGGTGGTCCCGGCATGGCAACAGACACTGGTTCGGGTCTAGTCAGTTCGATGGAATATGTGTTGTTCGATTTACGTGTCAATAATAATAATAAATAATTATTAGGTTTGTTTATCTTTCTTTATTGTGAAGGAAAAACATTGTGATTTCAATTCTGCATATAAGATTAACTTTTCGACATGTAAAGTTCTCAATGGGGCCAGCATGGCGGACTGTGACATAAATTATAGAAGATTTTGCAGATGTATTGTAAGATGAAGAAGATTGTGGATGATGTGTATTTTATTTATTTTTTATTTTATTTTATTTATTTATTTTAAACACTAAGAATATTACAAAAATATATATACATCACACCCTTAAACCTACATTGGTTTGTCCGGGTGCTGCACGTTCTCCTTAATTACATCTTAATATTACATCTTATCATCTTGTCTAGAGTCAATAATAACATAATCTGGCTCGAAGGACCCAACAGGTGCCAATACTACGTTATATTGTTTAAATGATAAATTAAGAATGTAAAAGTGTATTGTAAAGATACAAACTAGATGAAGTTGTGTATCTCTTACGTTGTTGTTAAGTTGTTTTGTCTGAAGGTTCGTTAAACACTAATTTAATTGCCTAATTATGCGCACAGGCAAACAAACAGCCACGGAAAGTAGAGCGCAAAGTAAGCTAAACTAAAATGTGAAGTTGTAATCCGTACACACTCTTATCAACTGCATATAATAATTTATCATGTGTAGTCGTCATCAAAGTCATTGGTGCGCATGGAAATGTCAAAAAATCAATTTTGTGTCAATGATTTAACCAATTTTAAAAAAGGAGGAGGTTCTGAATTCGACTGTATTTATCTGTGTGCGATTACATTTACATTTGTGAACGGATTTCGATGATTTTTTTTGGTTTCTTTTCTGTCTCATATACCTGTAATTTCACCAGCACCCTTACCCTTTAAAACCGGAATGTTCACATCACTGCTTGGCGGCAGAAATAGGTACGGTAGCAGTACTTCCTTAAATGGAACTCTTTCACAAACAGCTATACTGGAAAGGGGGTACTTCAGTAGTGATCCCATTCAAATTTTGAAAAAAAATCCACTTCTAAGAGTGACAAATCAGGGAAGACTCCGGTTTATTCGATTTCACCCACTTTCTGTTAACCGATTTCAATAAAACTTGGCAAATGGATGAAATTCCACACACTTCTGACGTCGGTTTTTTTTTAAATAAAAAGGTAATAATTGTTTTGTAATTAATTTCAATTTCGTAATTAATTTCAGTGTGCAAGAAAATGCTTTTTAATGTTTTATTGCCAGGTACGGTTGATTTTTATTATATGAGATACATTTTCGAGGTAAAAGATTCGCTGACGGAGTATATGTCTATGGTATAACCCTATAATCATATTATAAATAGATAGAAATGCGTCACCACATTCCGGCTGACACAGATACGCGCAGAGCACGGATGTTTCGGTGAGTATCTAACTAGGATCGGACGCGAGTCGACGACGCTGTACCACCACTGTGGGAGGGACCAAGATACCGCCCAGCACACGCTGGAGGAGTGCCCCGCGTGGGCCTCCGAGCGAGATCTCTCTCTGCCAGGCAAAGTAGCGGCTATGTTGGCGGATCAAGAGTCCCATGAGGCAGTGATCTCCTTCTGTGAAGCAGTGATGCTCCAGAAGGAGGTCACCGAGCGTGATCGCGAGAGAGCCGATCCCGCTCGGCGGCGGCGTACCATCGCGGCTGCGGGCGATCGCAGCGGGAGCTCCGTTCGCCATTAAGTTTGGCAGCCGCGAGGAGGACGACGGGGCGGTGTGGCCCATTTCGTCATGAGGAGGGGAGGGGGAGGACGTAGCTCCTCCTAGGTGCTGGGGGGATCCGGTGCGCTAAGTCGATCCCGGATCCCGTGGGTTTTAGCCGGTACGAGTCCGGCATAACCTCTCCGTTGCCCCCGCGGCGGAGAGGTATCCTAGGAGGATTTCCCCACGAAAAAAAAAGCATATGATTCAAGTCCCGTGTTGGCATGACGCTGCAACACAGACCATACCAGACTATCTACTTTGTATGTTTACTTTAATTTTAATTGGAATTATATGTCAACTAAACTGTTTTTTGTGTGCTTTTGTGTTGTTTTGTTTTGCCAGTAAAAGTTTGTCTCTGTCTATATGTTTAGATATATTTGAACACTTTGAATCCACCGATCAATTTAATGTTAACTCTATCAGCATACATGTATGCATACGTAACAAGCATCTGAGCAAAGATGAATAATATATTACAACCTTCACAGTCTAGGTCTATATATTATTAATAGAGGTTATGATGGAGTACAATTATGTACCTACATATGTATACTTCGTTGATAAAGAATACATATTGAATTTTTTAATAAACATAATAACATTTTCGAGGCAATGTTAACATATTGGGTCTATGATCTCCACGTACCACTACATATCAGACTCATTGTCTCCACATACAACTACGTATTGGACTAATTGTCCCCACGCACCAACGCTTACCGATGGCAACCGTTAATTATACAATACGCAACGGGAAGTAAGCGTGCCTACAGCTGCGGTACCTATTTGAAAAAATAGGGAGCGTATTTATTGTACGTGCACCCGGGGCGGCTCAACCTAGACAGCTAGCCTCTTGAGAACCGGATAAAGGCAGTGACAACGGTCTGTGACAGTCCTGTACACTGGTGATCTGGGATCAGAACCTGAACTTAGAAGGGTCCTGAGCACACACGGGTTATAGTGCCCTTCTCGTATACCCTAAAGGCGCATATCTACGCTAACAAAAGTCGCCGCGTCTATGCAAGTATTCGTGTCGTTTCTACACACGAACTGTGTACACTGTCTCGATAGGCAAGAAAAAAATATTGTCTAGCTTTTTGTCAAAAATGTTGTCTCTGCCGCTATTTTATGGGGCGGGATGAGGTAATTCATTGTCAGTAAACAAACGTTTATGCGCGTGAACAGGTGTTGCTTAGTAGTCAACATGTATAACAACATATTTTTTCCCCACAGTCGGTAGTAAAAAGCTACCTGGAAGACTCGTAATGCACTGACACATTTTATCCTATACACGTCTGTCCGAAAGCATTCGTATCGTGTACATACTCATCATTTTCTCGTTTGCACACATATTTTCGTGACATAGACCCGACAAAGTTCTTGGTCGTGTACAAGACCATTCTGGTCTTTTTTGTAGCAGACACGTCGAATATCTTAGCGTGTACACGCGCCCTAAGGGTCGGCAGGGAAGGCACTTTTTCGTAAAATTTTCAATCGTTTATATTTTTTAACTAATGTAGATATGAAGCGTATACCTTTAATTCGTGAAGGTAGCAAATAGCAATTATTGGTACTACATACTTCTGGAAAATCTGCTCCCTTCGTGCTGAACAAAGAGGCGACCAGCCATCCTGACGTCAGAATGGCTAGTCAAAAATTTTTTTAAATTTCTCAGAATATATCATAGGTAGCAACTACATATTTAGAAAAGGTAGTAAATAGAAGCAAATAGATAGCAATTCTTGAATATATACTCAGTGCCAGACGCCACAACCGACCAGCCATCCTGACGGTCACGCCTATAATCAAAAGTAATCACGCAGCGCTACGTATAGGATCTATCGTTGAAACTTGCGTGCTGCTGTGTGCCCAAGCTACATATTTCCGTCGATAATTACCTGCAAAATATAATAATAAAAACTGTTTTTCTACCAATCCTTTTTCCTTTCATTCTATCTCTCTTTATTCTCTTTGTGTGGGTATAGGAAATCTGTGTCTCTCAAAGCGCGCTATTATGCCCGGTTTTCAGACGTACGCATCCAAACAGAATGGAAATCGACGTATTTCAATTACAAAGGCAAACGTACCTACATAATAATCTACGTTTTCTCTGTGAAAGCTCTTGACTTCTGTACCAATTCAAAGCCCGAGTTTTCGATAACAATGCTCCATGGTCAGTTCCACTGAATCTGTTATCACATCTATTCGGGGTTGGAATGGGATTCAAATTGTTCGTAGAACAGGAAACGGAGATGTGTGTCTATTACACACGAAGTCTAATATTGTCATAACTCAAAATAGTTGAATTGAGAAAACACGATTTGAAAATTAAAAAATAATACTGAATAAAATCAATATAATATCGACACCGCAAAGGTAAAACGTCTAAAGTGCATTTGAAAAATATTAGGAGAGAGCGATTTAAAGTTTATTTTTCTAACCTTTTCTATATATGGATAATTAAGTATTATGTATAATTCAAAATAATCACATTATTCGCAATAAGAACCATTCAATATTTTTTTTAATTGTGTTTTCTCAATTCCACATTTTTGAGTTACGACTGTACTTGATTTTATGTGCTATATAGATCTGTTTGTACAATAATTTAAGTAGTTAATTTTTAATATTGATTTTATTGAATATCATGATATTTTATTACCATGATACTTATTATTATTTTTTTGTGAAACTAGTCTACTTGTTTTGTTATAATTATTAAAACAAAGATTGAACACAGAGATTAACATAAGAAGAAGTAGAAGTGTTCTAGTACAATAAGAAAAAAATAAAAACAAGGCCCCAATCAAGTATTGTATATCAGTTGCCATGGTGACACTTTAATAACAATTATTAACATGTCTTGAATTAGCGAAATAAGACTTAAAAGCGGTTTTTTATATCTTTTTTAGTTTCAGTTTTATAGGTAGTCTATACAACCTCAATAAAATATATGGTGAAACTGATTTGAATACGGTGTGAAAAATTGATTCTTAAAAATTTTCACGATAGAAATAACACAAATT